CTACTAGTTGTAGCAGCATACCATGACTGCGAGATTTGGCAAATGGATGTCAAAACCACGTTCTTGAATGGAGATCTTACTTAAGATATCTATATGCAGCAACCCCAAGGTTTCATAGTTGCAGGTCAGGAACACATGGTATGTGAACTTAATCGATCCATATATGGACTTAAGCAAGCTTATAGGAGCTGGAACATCTGGTTTGACTCTATCGTCAAACAGTTTGACTTTGAGCAGAATCCAGATGAGTCTTGTGTTTACAAGAAGACCAGTGGAGATAAGGTTGCGTTCTTAATTCTGTATGTAGATGACATTCTACTCGTTGGGAATGATGTAGGAATGTTGACTACAGTGAAATTCCCAATAATTCTCCATGAAAGATCTTGGAGAAGACTCTTATATATCTTGGAACTTTGACTCTATAGAGATAGGTCGAAGAGGATAATATGATTATTCCATTCTACTTACATTAACAAAATAGTCAAGCGATATAGTATGGAGAACTCCAAGAAAGAAATCGTTCCTTTTAGGATGGAGTCACTCTCTCCAAGGGTATGTCTCCCAAGACACTTGAGGAGATTGAGGGCATGAAGGAAGTTCCCCATGCCTCTGCCGTAGGGAGCATTATGTATGCCATGTTGTGCACTTGGCCAGACATTGCTTAGGCCGTGAATGTGGTAAGTAGATACCAATCTAACCTAGGACAAGAGCATTGGACCATTGTGAAAAACATACTAAAATATAGATTTGGATAAGGGAACTCCTAATTTGATTAGGAATGGTTGATCTTGATCTGCAGATAAGATAAGGGATTGTCCTTATCACTTAAAGAGTCCAGATCCAAATAAAGATTTGGATTAGGAGACTCCTAATCAGATTAAGAGGTTGTCTCTTTAAGGCTATAAATAGAGAGTAGGGCAGACCTGAAAAAGACACACAACACAGAAGACAACTCAATTTGACTGTTTCTATCTTCAGTTCTTTTTCTCCCTGCTCTTGCCGCCCTACCCTGTTCAATCTCCATTTCTTGAAATTGATCAAGATTGGATCTTGATATTGTTTCTTGATAGAAGAAACAATTCTGAAGCTGTGTTCACTACCCCATTCGGTTCTTGCTGATGAATCACATGTTCTTGGTGAAGAACTGCCTACTAATCTTGCCTCATCCTAAGTTGTGTCATCTTCAGTGGAGGGAGGATTTGGTACACTCTTTGGGCATGAACACCTACGTTGGGAGGAGCTTTTTGCGTGGATTCCGTATCAGGTATATCCCTCCCTAATCTTGGTTTCAAATTTGGTCCGGTTTGGTTACAAGAACGAACCTTAAAAATGCAGTTTTCTAAATTGGGAATAGGATTCCTGGATGGGGGTAAAGAAATTTTTGAAATTTCGCCCAACCTTCCTACAGGGTTCGGCCATCCATATAATGGATCTCCCATCCCTTCATCCTGCAGGAAGGTGACTCGGATGTCGATCTGGCTAGTTCACCAGGTCGACTTGCAAAGAGAGAATATTAGAGTGCCCGGGCTGCTTTGCCCGGGGTGGGCACTCCGATGCTTAAGTTAGCGAACTGGAGGTTTTGGAGAGAGTTAGGGAGCAAGATTGCTAGAGTATGTGAGAGCTGTATCACACGTACTAACGAGGAGGTCGCTGCTCATGCCGAGGTCACTTTGACAGGTACTGACGAGGTACCACGGGTTGGCAAGTTCTTGAGGAGGTTGCTCCTCATGCTGAGGTCCCTTGGACCGGTAATGACGAGGTACTATAGGTCGAACTTGGACGAGTTGCTTCTAGCCTTCTTTCCAAGGTGCCCAAGCTGTGTATGAGGTGCCTTGGACTGATTCCAGGGTGCGTCTCCTTGACCTGGCAAGATACGCGTCTATCTGTGTGGTGTTGAGGTGTCAAGTGGCAAAGACAGATGCCATGTGTTGGTATGTCACTGGAGGGCTAAATCTGCCCCCATTAATTGCCCCCACTCTCAAGTCGAGGCTAGTTCGGCGAAGGGTGTAGCTTCTTTGAAGACGAAGCTCGAGGAGACCTGCTTTGGAAGTCGATCGAGTCGATCCACACTAGTTGGCCGAGTTACCAGGCTACTTGTTGGCGCGGAGGTGTGCACTTGGAACTGAGCGCCGCTCTTCAAAATCCGAAATAGGGCGTGCCTTCAAATGGTGCGTGCGTCCTTCAAAATGTCGAGCGCGCGCGGCCTTTCAAAATTCAAAATAGGGCGCACTTTCAAAATACAAAATAGGGTACACTTTCCAAATTTAAATTATTGCGTGTGCCTTTCAAAATTTCAGACACAAGCTTTTTCCTAGACCATTGGATTGGGTGAATTTGGACCATCGATAGTCCGCGTTGTTGTCTATAAATTGGGGGGATCCTCAAGGGCCCCATGTCGCTTTCTGATTTTGGACTTACACTGAAGCGAAGATTGTTGATGACCTCCAACTCGATTGTGATGGTTTTCGGCAATTCGTCTTTTTCTTCTTATTGTTGGTAAGTCTCCATTTCCAGCCACCTAAATGCTTGGACCAAGGTAGGGACCTCGGTTCAAGAGCGAAGAGGTTCCCATGGAGAAGCCTCAACCTCTCAACCCATCTAGAACATGTTTCGGGCCCTCCGAACTGTCTGACAAGGAGATAGTGGACCTGATCAACACCTATTAGATCCCCAATAGCTTAAATTGTATCCAGCATGAGGACAGGCAATATCCGTGGAGCCATGAAAAAACAGAGGTTTGTGTCTTAAGGACGCCCTCATTGTCGGGCTCCGCTTTCCCCTTCATCTGTTCATCTGTGAAGTCCTCCATTACTATGGTTTGGCACTAGATCAACTGCATCCGGACTCAATTAGGACCATTGTAGGCACCATTTCTTTTAGCTATCACCTCAGTTTCTCCTTAGATATAGAGATCTTCAGGGGGATATGTTACGTAAAGCGAGTGACAAATGAAAACTGTTGCTTCTACATCAGCTACCGGTCTGAGTTTAGGCTTTTGGGTGGTTTTTTGTCCAAGATCGTGAACTATAAGACAAAGTTCTTCTTTCTGTGCCATGAGGAGGGTTGGCCTATGTTGACGACTTGGAGGGCCAAGGAAAATAGGTATGAGGTCAAGATTGACAAAGAGTTGCTGAACGATCTTAGACTCCTCGTTGAACGACGCTCCTTAGTCGATGAGTTCCTGGCCAAACTGATGCTCAATGAGGCTGACCTTAGGCCCATAGGTAGGTTACGCTATATTTATTACCTTTGAATTTTATTTCTTGTCCTTATGGTCCATTTGGTTGCCAAGAAAGGATGTGAGGAGATGGAATGGGATGGGATGGGATGGGATGGGATGAGAGGGGAAAATTTATTTTCTCAATTCTGTCAAATGTGTTTGGTCGCTGAGACCAGTTATCCTACTAAATCTACTTTCCAGTGTTTGGTTGCTGAGAAATTTTGAAGGGTGGATGGATTCATTCTATATAAATGAATGATCCATGTAATATCTGATTCGACAACACAAGATTTGTTTTTGGGATGACATGGCATAATAGTATTTGAACATTGCCATGTGTCATGTTGATATAGCACAATTAAAAACTCATATGTATTAAAGATATAGCCTACCTATAATAGTTAACATAATAATTCCATCAAACATAAATGTCATAAGTTGGTTTACTAGGTTCATAACAACCAAATATTTGTAGCCATCATTTAAACAAGTATAAGATCGACATAACTATCAAACTGACTACCAACACAAGAATTACTAGTGATTGTGAACAAGGTTCTTTTGATGTCTTTACCTCCGTGTCGGTATTCTCTACATGGATCCTAGAGGTGTTCCCAACTATTGGGTGTTGGGATATTGAATACATATTGCACTGGTACTGTTGCAATTGAAATACCGCTTCTTTGTAGGTGCTATACGAACAAAAAATAGTTTCGCTAAACCTATGCACTTGGGCATTACGCTCTGCCCGCATGAATTAGATTCCTAGTCAGCGGCCTTTGAACACAACATAGTATTTTTCCATATTAATACCTATAAAGACGTAAATACATATTTCACCAAACCTGTGACCAAGATCATAAATTCACAATCAAACACCACCATGGCAAGATGTGAATAACAACCATGGGATGTAGTGGATTAAATCCAATGCATCTTCTCCTATAAGTAAACCTGCAAATATGTCATACTCAAGCTACAATATGTTTGGTTTCACCGAACCAATGCTAATAAACCTATGAGCAAGATCATAAATTCACAATCAAACATCAACATGGCAAGATGTGAATAACAACCACAGAGTGCAGTGGGTTAAATCCAATGAATCTCTAACCTATAGCTGAACCTGCAAATATATCATATTAAAGCTATAAGATGTTTGGTTTCACCAATCCAATGCTAATAAACCTGAGTAAGATCATAAATTCACAAAAACCTATATATGTATATCATCTTTTAAGTTGCAAAAAACTTTAAATAGTGATATATTCACAAACCAATCACAATACCATATGTCCGTGTATATGTTTGTATCACCATTATCGTGTATATGTTTATATACTATGTCAAACAAACATCCAATGCATCCCAAAAAGACAAGAACAAAATGATGCAATGGATATCCAATCAGTTCATGTGTCTATCAAAGTCTAATCAGAAGACTAAGTTCAATCTAGTATTCGGATGCAAGTTTCATGTCCAACCACGCTTTCCTTAATTCGGGCCTAAGGGCATAAAATGCTATTGCCCTACTCTCTAACTGAGATAGAAAATCTATGGCCTTGATGAGGAATTCTAGGTTCTCATCCCTGAGGTTGTATACATCATCAAATATTTTGTCCTTCTTTAAGAGAGAGATCGTCTTCTCAACTGCATTTTCTAGTGTAGATATGCTATGAGCTATTGTTTGCACTTCATCAGAAACAATGCTAGCATATGACATCATTTTCCCCAATGAGCTCCTTCCTTCAACAAAGCTACCCTCTTCTGGTACCCTAGCTTACAGGGTAGAGTCACCAGCATTTTCTCCCTCATCCAACTCCCCGTAGGCTGGCTCATGCATTGTTTGTATGTTATTGGGAGTCATTGATGTTGTTACCTTCTGTCTAAGTGCCTCTCTAGCAGTAAAAGCTCTAGCCCCAGTTACTTGATCATTACCACAAACTATTGCAAGTTGATCGTAGTTATTGATTGCTTTCCTTCTAAACTTCCCTGCCTCAGGGTGTGCCTGATCATTTTTTGATGAATCATTCCATTAATATCATAATATAATCAAGTATGTCAACTTTGTTACACTAAAAAAAGAACACTAGTTGAACTTTACTTGGATGTATTCTGCCCATACTTTAGGCTCTGCATCTATAGTCTTTGTAAGGTCATTCCAAGAGAAACCACTCGAGTTAAGGATGTTTGAAATGGTGCTCAAATTTTTCTTGATTGTTTTCAAGTGGATTGTAATGTTGTTATAAGTGCAGTCCACCCTAAATGCTAAGCTTATGGCCCTAACAGCAGCATCATATGCCAAAGCCTTGAAGCTCTTGTCTACCTTGTTTCCAAGGTTTGCTTGCTCAACAAGGGTCTCTATTAACAAGTTATCCATGTTCATGGTCCAAGACATATTAGGCCTGGTGGATCTAACATCATCTTGAGAAGGTATAGAATCCATTGCTGGCTTAAATCAATCAAGCATAGTTTGGTTAATTATTTCAAACATCCAACACAACATAACATGCTATCAAACAATTGCAATCATGATACCAAATACAATAGTTCAGAATAAATGTACTAATATAAGCCATTAAAATCATCAACCCAAATGTAGAAGATCATAGTATCAAAATTCTATATAGGACTACATTTAATAACACAAGTTCAACAAAGATCCTAGATAACAAAACAACACACTGAAATTAATTCTGACGCCTAGACCAAGACACTTGGTAATCTGCCCACATTTGGTTAGCTATCTCCTCTTTGAATCGGTTCCCTTCTCTGCTTTATTCATTTCCACTGATGCGTTGGGATGGTTGAGATGTTTGGGTGTCCATCCCATCATCTAATTCATCTGCATCTAAATCTGCATCTCCTTCCTCTTGGTCAAATTGAGACATGATTCGATCATATGGATTCACCCCCATGACATGGTTATGTAATATGCAACGTGCAAACACTATCTTCACTTGAGTTCTGAATGGGTAATGTTGTTCAGAGACCAAGATTGGGAAACGTTTCTTAAGGACACCAAAGATTCGTTCAACTGCATTCCTAAGTGATGCGTGACGAAGGTTGAACGATTCTCTTGGGTTCTCAAGTTAGTGTGTGCCCCATTCTTTAAGATGGTATCTTGTGTTATGATACGGTGTTAAAAATCCAGGCTTTAGAGAAAACGTGGCATCCACAAGATAATATTTACCTAATTGAATATATAAAAAGCAAAGATTAGAACCAAACCCCCAAATTTAATTGTATAACATTTATATAACCTATGTGAACTTGTATTATCACCTGCTAGAACATATAGTTTATGTTCTCTTGATAATGCATTAGTTAACATGTGGGAATTTGATGCCACACCCTCCCAACCAGGTAATATGTACATTAAATGCAAGTTGATTGAACATGCAACAAGAATATTTTGTGTCAAGTATGTCTTATGGCCATGGAATCTAGCTACATCTGCAGCAGGAACCTTCACAGGTATATGTGTGTCGTCAATTGCCCCAACACAATCCTGCCAAGTAATCCATTTCAACAGTTTTTTTTAATATCTAATGCCTAAGATGTTGTATAAAGTTCATAAGCATATAAAACTTTGACATATTCATTACCTTAAAGTATGTCCAAAGGTTAATTGATTTCTAATCTTGGACGGTGGTTCTGCCCCGTTTGGTTGGATTAAATATCTATCCTCTAGTTTTAGAACTGCATCTAGTACCAAGTTCAAGTGATGATTCATCGTCTCTCCAGATCTACTGAAATGGAACCCCATCATTCTATTCCGAACATTGTGTGCTAAAATGTGTAAGAATCTAGCAACTTATTCCTCAACAGTACTTCGTAATGTGTCATTCAATCGACCAGTTTCACATAGAATTTTGCAAAGCCTATAGAATGCCTCCTTCCCCATCCTCAATTGGTTGTAACAATCAATCGGTCTCCCCCTATATAGTCGATCCAACAAATCCTGCCTATCTAAGTCTCTATTGACAGAAGGTTCTCTATCCACATAGTCCATCCATTCTTGCAAGATGGTCAGGGTCAATGAAGTTGCAGCGGTTGCAGCCCCAACCACTGCAATCAAAGTTCTGTGTCCATATATCCAGACAAGAAATATATAAAAAAGGAGAAAAAATCCCTAATGTATGAATCATATGAGAGACTACGCTAACATAATCAGATGTCTACATTATTATCATTGGTCAAACATGGTTTGGATGCTGCAAAAGATAATCGAAACATGTTCTGTGGAGGTTTCAACAAAAATCTGAAAGGAATACAAAGAATGCATAACTTCAAAATTAAGGTTCACACAATTGACATTAATTTTAGGACCCTCTATGCTAACATATTGAACAGAGATTAGATGGATGCCCCAAGTTTGTTGTTATCTGGTTTCCTACTGCCAAAGCAATTCCAAAATGATGTCAATCACTTTAAGCATATAGGAATTCCATCTCTATGCATATCTGATGCCATTCTTCTGTATGTGCCTAAAGTCATTTTAATATGGCTTTCAGTTATTAGTCATGTCTTGAACTATTTGCATAAATTTTTAAAATGTATTTTTCTCTTTCTCCCTTCCAGATCACTTTTGGAGGTTCAACTCTTCATTCAGTCTCATAAGGTCTCTGTATCAAAGGTTTTAAATTCTACTACTAAACCAAAATTCAATCTAGTGAAGCAAATATTTTTCTGAAATTCATTCTGGTGTCTCTTGAAATCAGAAAATATTCCCCATTTTCAAGATACCCAATAAAATGGGGCTGATTGGACTTCTTCTGGAACTATGATTGTTTAAGTTTCTTAGTTGCTGCCTGGAACTTCTAATCATGTTCCTTATTAGGCAGGGTTCTCTTGAATCAGTTCAGTATTGAAACAAATCCTGTTTGGGTTAGAAGAGCAAGAAGATTGACAAGAAAGCTTGCCACAAAGTAATTGAGAATAGTTATTTTCTACCTGTTGCATATTAACTATAAGTAAAACCAGATAAAGATTAGTTAAAGTAATCAGTAATGTTCATTTATTAGAGAAGAAATGAAGATATTGGTATGAAAGCACCCAATGGGTCCATTCTTTCTGCAAACTAATAGATTCATTTACTAAAAATCAGTTTCCCTTACTGGTCAATTCTTCTCAAAATGGAAGAATAAGTAGGAAGAAAGGCACAGTTCTGTTCAAAGTAACTGGAGTTCTGCTAGTTTATTTCAACATGGTGCAAACAAGATAAAATCTGTTCAAAGTATTGAATCACTTAATGTTTCTATATGTGCAGATTTGTAGGTAGATGTCCATTCACATTTATCAGAATTATCAACTTTAGAAAATTGAATACCTTATTTTTATGGAAACTATCTCCTATAATCACTCTTCTCTTATTTTCTCAAGAAATTCTGTCTTGCTTGACCAGTTGTTACCTGGGCATCAACTAGTCAACAGTTCGCCTAGGGAGGCCAAAACAAGTGGTCAGTCACCACTATTGTCCAAGACAATAAACAGACATCCTTAAATGGGTTTAGGTATTGAAAGGTATGGTGGGCACGAGCCCACTTGTGTTAGAGCATTGTCGGCCAGCTTGACCTTGTACTCTTCAAAATCTACATCTACTGCTACTGCAGTGCAGTGCAGAAGAAGGGTGAACACTGAACATAAATCTCATTAACTACATTGTTAATATTTGATAGGCCTAACAAATTCATTTCACTCACATCTTGAATTAATGTATAGGGTAGGGCCCATTTGTATTGACAGTTGGGGTCCATATCCTTGTCAATGGCCTTTCAAGTTTCAAGCCCCACCCACAAAATGAATAAATTGGGCTTCCATTAGGAAGCCCACAAACCAACCTCAGCTTAACTATAGTCTTTGTATATATATATGGTTCTAGTCTTACCAAAGTTAGTATCTTATTAATTCTTAAGTGCCATTTCAGAATAATCTATTTATTGTCAGCCAAAGCCTACAAGCAAGCAAATCTGATTTCCCTTTCTGGCTTTCTCATCTAAGTCTGAATTGCCTTACTTCCACTTCGTTATTGCTCCCTTTCAAGCTCTACTCCTCTCCTTCCACTTTGGTGTTTGTTATGTGGCTGAACTGGATCTGATTAAATCTGTGATGTCTTCTTTTAGTTCTGTTTCCTGTAGTTATATTCCTCAAATTTGTAAACAGTGTTGCTCACTCGAGATAGCTCAAAGGGCTAACCTTTGATCATTTTCTGAAGTCTGGTGGGATAGACCATCTTAATGGCTGCTGGAACATATTTTAAATTCTGTGTTTTGGTTTAGTTGGTTATTATAATCTTTTATCTACCAATCTAGTCATTGTTGTAAACAGATTGGTAGTGGTGGCCACTTGTAAACATCTATCACTATTGTCCAAGACCAAAACATGGTGCTTTTGGCTAAGTTTCAGTGCTACCATCTAGTCACAGGAATAGCGGATCAATAGATCTGGAGATGGGACAAATGGGGAATGTTTTCAATGAAATCCTTTCAGGAACTAAACAATGTTCCAATCTTAAAATAAGCTAGAAAGTTTTTTTTTTTAGAAGTAAAGTATCAATTCATTAATAGGAAAAGTACAACCATAAACTAGAAAGATTTACTTTTTAAACCACTCTCATATTTTTAACCATCCAAAATGGAAAATCCATAGAGCGGTTCAATGCTTTAATACTCTCAACCTGATTGTATGTATTCTAACATCAGCCAGTCTGCTGTGTTCAGGAGTGAATATTTTTGGGTAGTAATACAATGTATCCAGGGCTATCAGGGTTGATGACTTGGATGTGGGAACATTATTTTCAAATAAAATGCATAAATGACTTTTTTTTTTTCTTTTGAAAAGTTAACACAAACAAAATATGTAGTCTCCCAACCCCCACCCCCACCCCCACCTCCATTCCCACCCACCTAAAAAAAAGATAAAAGCAAACATCAACCAACAATACTAGTACAATGTTTTGCACTCCAAAAGCACATTTCTTACAAGAGTAAGCTATTCCTCTTTGTGTTGGTGATTTACAAACACCTTCTGCCACTGTGGTATTTAAACTTCTGAGTCCTTTTCCAAATTTAACATGCCAGATTTAAAGACAATAGGACTGCCAATGGGTCAGGTCTACCCAACAAAACAAAACTGAACCAAGCATATCGGTTCTAGTTCTATGATTTTGTCCTAATTAATAATTGGGTTGGGACCAGTTCTTGCTGTTCGAAACTGATTCAGACCCGAACCAATTGTATTGTTAATAATATATAAAGATTGAACTGACCAGTCCCCCATGCCAGCAAATCCAAGCTAAAAACTGGTTTGAAACTATAACTGAGCAATAGATAACAAGATGTGAGATTTACTAATCGACATTTTTACAAAAATAGACCCCAACAAAGTAAAACCAAGGTTTAAAATTTCAATATGATACGCCCGATACAGGGCGTATCGTATCGT